GGTTTACTGAATAATCATTTCCCATCAGCTTCCCGCTTTAGATTTTTTTTTTTTTAAACCTCATCAGGTTAAGAGAAAAAAATACGAAAGAGCAATTTTTTGATTTTTCTTCCTCCTGGTCGTGGTGAACGGGTACGGGCCCAGGCACGATAGCGCTGAGGTCGCGCTACAAAAAAGAAAGAACGGAGCCGAGATATGAATTCCTGTCCCGGGTGACTGTTTGTCCTTCTTTGGTGGAATGTGATAAAGCGGGTTGAGCGATAAGTATCGTTCTGAGAAACGGCTCCCCGTTGAACCCCCGCCGCTGACTGAGAGACCGGCCGGTCCGTCTGAACCACCTCTGCGATCTATTTTGGGTTTTGCATTAGGGGGTTTTGAGGAAACCGTGTGTCATCGCCTCATCAGGTCTGACCAGCACTTCCACTCACACACCCTACAGCGTGGAGGTGTTGTGTACTCTCAAGCCGGCCGTCCGTTAAGGGGGAGGAGACAGACACACACAAGCGCACGCACAAAGATGGGTGTGTTTCAGGTGTCTCTCTCTCTGTGTCCCTCACCTCAGGCTCCACAGGTGACTTTTAACACAAGTTAGTAAATGAAACTGAAACGTTCTGCCATCAGCTACAAGCTCAGCGTCTTAATTCTGCCCACCCCCCCGACCCCCCCCCTCCTCTAACACACACAAACACTGTAACAACCCCAAATGCACTGTACACTGCACATACGTTCACACACCTGCACACATTCACAACTAAATCTCGTTTGTGCACCGACAAGAGGACACCCGAGTCTGACTGGCGCCCTGCTCAACCTGTTTCTGAAAGCCACACACACACACACACACACACAGAAACTAATCACACACACACATCACCACACAAATAAACAGCAAGTCCCTGTCCCGTAACCTTGTGGTGAAGGTTATAGCAGTCAGCTGGGTCAGTGTGAGCACTGGACCAGCTGAAGAAATGTCCTTCCAGATACCCACTGTGTGTGTGTGTGTGTGTGTGTGTGTGTGTGTGTGTGTGTGTGTGTGTGTGTGTGTGTGAGAGAGGGGAAAGAGAGTTTGTTTGTGTGCGTGTCCACGAACGCCTCCAGGTGAGAAAACATTCAAAATAGTTTCAAACACTGAAACGAGAAACAGAAAGAAAAAGAAAGCAAGAAGCGGCGTGGTACCTGCGGGCCGATGGGACGGGGGAGTCACGGGGACGTCTCAGCTTCTTCTGCCACCGTCCAGAAAGCGTGCTCACTTTCTCATCGTGATCTCGTCCTCGTCCTCGTCCTCTCCTCCTGTGTGTTTTCTGCTGCGCCTCCTGACTTCAGTGACAGGTCCCCCGGAGCACAAGCAGAGGAGCTCTCACACTCATCTGACGGACACAGACTGAGAGCGAGAGGGGGGGAGAGAGAGAGAGAGAGAGAGAGAGAGAGAGAGAGAGAGGACTAGTCAGAGTTTCTCTTCTTCTTTTGGCGTTTTTCCGGATTGTGACTCAGATCCTCGCAGCGTGCCCTCTCCTTTGCTCCAGTCACCAGGGCGCGTAGACGCAACAGCGGGAGACAAGGGAGGGAGGAGAGCGCACAAGGTCTCGTAGTGGAGGGAGAGGGAGGGATGAAGAGAGGGAGGGAGGCATAGATGGAGGGAGGGAGAGGGAGGAATGGCAGTGGTAATTAGTGAGCCTGTACCTGACTCTCACTGACATAAGCCCCACAT